CTCCGATTTGAAGCAAATTTCGAACGAAATGTTTAACGTGGGAAATTAAGCGGAATAAAATTCAGCAAAGAAAAAAAAAGAGGGGAAAAAACGAAAAATATTTGAAGATGGTTTAACTGGGCTAAATTACTGTGGCAACGTAAGCGTACAATGAAGATCTTGTTCTTGAAGAGTTCTTGTATTCCACGACGTTCCTCTGACTTGCTCTGTTATTCACAGATGAACGATAACGTTCCTGCTTTCTGAAAGGAATGTATAAATAAATCTAACGCGAGTGTCGTTCGTTCGTGTCGCAACGTAAGCAATATCGTACAATTCCATTCATTTTTTTTTTTTTTTCTTTTTTATATTTCTACGCTTCTGTTGGGTCGTGCCACACGAAACGTCGGGATTTGTGTTCATTGAACGTTTGAGCTCGGTTACTATTCTTCGTTTGGAGATCGTTTGGTTCGCTATCTTTCGGAACACTCTGCGTTCAGAAAAACTATTCTTCAATGAATTTGGAATGTTACTGCACAGAAGCAGGTTCTCTGGCAGATATTTACTTTTTCAGAAATCTGGAATCACTCTTACGTTCAGAAAACGTTCAGAAACAAACAAAGAGACTCTCCTTTCTAAAAACCAAGAATCGTTATTCTTCGTTGAAAGAACACCAGAGAACCTAGCACGCGGACGTCTATTTCGATCAGAGTCGAAGATAATCCAACGATATAAAAATTCAGTTGATCTAACCGGAGGATCCAATTTTCTATTTTCTTCGCTTCGAAGGAAAGACTCGGGACTGAGAAACCGCGGGGAAACTTTTATGCACGATGGAATTTATCGATTAAGCGGTGGTTTACGTAAGAGGTCCGCGTCGCATAACCCCGAGAATATTCACGGAACGCACAACAGAGGAGGAAATCAATAGAAGAGGGATTTTCTTTCGAGCGACGTTTTCCTTTCAGGATCGACGTCGCGAGCGATTCGCAGTCGGCAGACAAGGCTAAGCTACCGCGAGAAAGAATCACCACGCGCGATACGACACGACAGAAGGGGGGGCACAAAGACTCCTTGTGGCATTGACACGAGCTACTCTGTTTCGCGTGTGCCCCTTTGTAACGCCAGGCGAACTGACTCCGCGTAATGGCACGACGGAACGGCAATTTCCCGCTAACTAGCCAACAAGCCAGCATAAATTGCAATAGCATTATCGTCCCTAATTACGCGATGCACTTTGACACGATGCGAGTTCGCTTATCGTTATTCATAATGCGGTAATTACGTGTAAATGGCTCCGAAACAAACGTGCAATTAACCGGGGTTTAGAAATATATCGTCCGGGAATGTCGAGAACCTCGTTGATCCCAACCGCGGCTTAAGTAGATCGAGGCGGAAATGGTCAGACGAGATGGCGAGAACGAGCTGATACGCGAAAATAAGCGCGAGTGAGAGACGGATGACAGTTAACTTCCTATGCATCGAACTTTTTTCTTGTGATTAGAAGAAAATTTGAGGAACGTAAAATCAACAACTATCAACCTGTAAATGTAGATTAGACAGTTTCAACGATTTTATTACAACGAATGGAAAGTTTTCTAACTTTGAAGTAGCAACAGCTTGCAACGTTTGCGCTCGTGTGCATGAAAGCTCAAGTATGAAATTTCGTGAAACAGCTCGTGCTCGACGTTGAACACAGATACACGTTGCATTTTATTTCTCGAACTCCTTTGCTTTGGCTGAAATAAGACGTTGTTGATACAAAATGTACGTACGCTTTTCCTTGTTTAACAAACACCGGTAGAAGAAAAAATAATGACAACTGGTTCCTGCAGACAACTAGCAAAAGCAATTTACTTCGATATTTCAGGTTAGAGCTGATAAAAAAAGATTTTTACTATCTGCAAAAACAAATGTAAATATATAATTGTTATTAGGCTCTCGATTGCCGATAGAGAATTTATAAGTAAATTTATAAATAAAGCTTAAACTTTCAAGATCATGTTCTTTACATATCTAAACTTTTTTTTTTTTTACCAGCTACAATAAAAAAATATATAGCAGTTACATGAAAAGGACATCAATAGCTTTGAAAAGTCCTTGAAAGAAATATTTCTACCAGGTGGTAGTTCTATAGGCCTTTCGATACCATTCATGTTAGGCAAAAAATATTTTTTCAAAAATTCGAAAAAATATTTCGATGGCCTCCCTTCGATGGACCACCCTGTGTAATAACACAGAACCTCGAACGACGTTTTTTTTACGCACAGAGTCTGATAGCATTCTCTGTTGCTTTTACACCATATCGATTGACCGTTTCACTCTAAATGCAAGAACTACGTTATCGACGAAGCTTCGAGTAAATAAATTCGAACGACAATAGACGGAGTACGGGCGGAATGTGAACATTCGCAAACGCGAAGGAAGATCGCACAACAGTATGCAATTAACGACGTTAGACGCTGCGCCGCTTCGGCGAAGTCGCGTACGCGAGCATGCGTGGCAGGTTGCCGTACAAAGTTGCCGTACGCGGTTTGTAAAGTAGATTAAGATGGTAACGAGCAAACAAGCGGAAAATCGACTCCAGCGATGCACTCGTGTCGGGTTAATTCTCATAATTCTCATAATTTAGCGGACGAAAGATGGAACACGCGAGGCAGCTTTCGCGAACCGTTTCAGAAGCATTACGCGAACGTCGGCAACAAGGATCCGAGCGGGGGTAACTCAAGGAAATCCCTGTGAAATTAACGAAACTCCCGGAACGCACGGCTTCTGACATCCCTACAGAAAACTTCATCATTTCCATTAACCGGCGAAATGAGTTTCGCAAGGTTTGCAAAAGGGGGCTGAACGTATCCTCCCCCGTTCACCGCGAAACGAATTTTCTACAGAGAATGCAACGTTAATGGGGAAAGAAGGAGATAAAAGAAGAAGAAGAAGGAGAAGAAACAAAGGATACGTACAACGAGTTCCATTGAGCGTTAAAGTTACGCGTGTTTTACGTTAAAATTTCAGTAGTCGTTTCCTCGATTCGATGGTTACCGTGTTGTTGCAATTTTGTCGGATCTGGTCTGGCGAAAGTCTTCTTCTCGACGTGAACGTAGACTCAACACGAAACGCAGAAGATGCAGAATGTACTTTCTCGATCCATGGTTGAAACTCTTCGAGACTCTTCAAGACTCGCATCAATTTAGTACAAATTTCTCTTGAAGAGGAATCTCTTTTTGTGAAAAAAAAAAAAGAACTGTGTTGGTTCGCTTAGAAAAGTTCTTGCATTTTCCGAAAGGTTTCCCGTCCATTGAATTTTATAACGACCTCGTGCAACAATATCGAAGAGGAACACCGTGTCTAAAGGGGATCCAGGTAATATTAAAACTCTTCACTGTAAATAATTAAGTTTGCTACGATGGAGTTTCAGCTTTGCATCTTCGAGGAGAAGTCAGGTAATTCGAAACGTTTGTGAAACCGGAAAATTATATTTCTTGCCCGTTTCACATGGTAAATATAATCTGTCGAATAAAGTATTTACAGCTCGTGCGATTCTAACCATTTTACGCGTGTCTTTGCTGGTTTTTACGTTTCTTGCGTATAATTATATGAAGATCTTACATCACAAATGTTAGTATTTGTTTTATTCTAGTTAACTACGTATTTTTATTCTAGTAATATTTATAGTACTATATATATAGTATATATTATAGTACTATTTTACGTAATTTTAATTTTACTATAATATTATAGTACTATTTTATTCGTACTTTTACTTAAATTTTACTATAAATTCGTAATTTTACTTTAATCTTACTATAATATAGTACTATTTTATTCGTAATAAATTTTACTATAAATTCGTAATTTTACTTAAATTTTACTATAAATTCGTAATTTCACTTTAATTTTACTATAATATTATAGTACTATTTTATTCGTTTTTTACGTAATTTTAATATTACTATAATATTACAGTACCATTTTACGTAACTTTATTCCAGTTACTTACGTTTACTATTAAAGCTATCAGACTATTTCGAGCAAGTGGAAACGTAGATCGAAACTGAAGCGAACAGCGAATTAAACATTGATTTCTTTCCCTGGTATAACCTGGTTTCGGCAAACAAAAATTACGAACGAACGTACGTAAATCCCTGTTGGTTTGATTTGACACGCGAGAGAGGGTAAAACAGCTTCAATTGGCAAGAGGTTACTTTTGGGGGGAGAGAGGCATTGTTCAGTCGATAAATCACGGTTCGAAGTGTATGCAAATATAATTTCGGCGGTGCTTACGGAGTTGCCCTGTCGTATTGGTCGCGGAACTGGAAAGATGATCCGACAGAGGATTGGCTCTAGTTCGGGGAACGGCATACCCGATCGATAATTGAGTAGATTCGAGAAATATCGAATATTCGTAGAATTGCATCGGGGCAATCTCAATCTCTCTATCGAGGGAGAGGATGAGTGGCTGGATGGCCCCGAATGAAAAACCTCCAATCGGCCAAACCGATGGCCATCGAGTCCTCACGAAACCGTTTCTTTGCCTTGGAACACCCTTCGCTCGTTAACTTCTCGATTCTAACAACATCTAAATTGCAAATGTCAAGAGACTTGGTCGTTGAAAGGTTTCTGGAGTCAATTTCCTTTCTTTTTTTGTTTTATACGATGCTCCGATCGATTTTCACAATTCCGCTCGGCTGATTGTGATCAAACGTTATCAAACGCACGATATGCGAAAAATTCTTTCATCGATTCGTCAACGTGCGACCAAAATAATTTTCAATCCTTTCGAAAAATGGTTCGCTAAGAATAAATGAAAATCGGAAATTAAATTGTTTCTCTCTCGTCCGAAATTGAATTTTGTCAAACTTATCTCGCAATTTACCGTCTACCGATTAGGAACATATCATTTTATCGCGACTTCTTTTCGGACACTATCGGTTTATTATTACCGCTAACATCAATCGTTAACATTTCGAAAAGCCGACAAAGGAATTCTATTAAAGGATCAATTAATTAAATGGACTTGCCCTTAAGCTCCATGTCCGTGACTTGATCCGCTTTGTAGGTGACCGTCTCCCTACGATCCCCAACGATGAAATAAATGTTCGTGTATTCCTCGTCGTCGTTACCACCGGTCCCATTCCTCGCCTCGAGGTCCATGGCCAAGCAACTAATATCGGCCTTGAACCGGCTTCCGCTCCTCTGTGCTCGACCTTGCGACAGCTTGCAAGGCGAGGCCTTCCTATTACTCCGGGCTACGGAAACATTCCACGGAATCTTGTGTTTGCACGTTGAAGAATTTCATTCTCCCGAATCCTTATTGCTAGTATTAGGTTTGCTGCGTGGCAAATTCGTTCGCCTCTCGGTGTTACATTTTTCGGGATATTAAAAATAAATATATCACAAAAATTGCTGTTTACTTTCTGCGGATTTATTATACACGATTCATCCACACTGAATGTAACATACACGCGGGATGGATAAATGTTGCTCGCAATTGTATCGCTTGATTACAAATATTTGAGGCAGAGTGTGAAATTGGAAACATATGTAATTTTAAAATGTTGAAAGAATTATACTACTAACGATGGAATATTCGTTAATTCAACGAATGAAGGAGTATAAAAGAACGAAATCTTCAAACTGCTTGCTTAACTTTCTTACAAAGAACAATCGACCAAATAATCGTCGAGACATTGCGAACGAATTTGTTACGCGACCTAACAATTTCAAATGATTACAAATATTTGAGGCAGAGTGTGAAACATAATTGGAAACATAATTGATGATATGATATGTAATTTTGAAATGTTGAAAGAATTAATTAAATACTACTGACGATGGAATATTCGTAATTGAAAGAACGAAGGAGCATAAAAGAACGAAACTTTCAAAGAACAATCGACCAAATAATCGTCGTCGAGACACTGCGAACGAACTTGTTACGCGACCTAATAATTTAAAATGATTTAAAACGAATTCACGTTACAGAAATAAAGTTTACGTTAAATTATAATGATACGAGTAAAGCGAAAGAATATTTGTAGAACAAGTGTCTCAAACTTCACTGGGAAATTTTCTAGATAAAAGCTTGGAGATTGATTTGATTTTTAATCGACTAACCTCTGGTCGGGTGTAGAAGGATAGCAGTATCCTCAGCGAGCTCATCGTCGCATCGCCGCCCCGGCGGCAACAACCGGGTCACCCCCGATTACAGTACCTGTCGACTTCGTACCTGCCGTGCGCAACACCTGCAGGGTGAACGATTCAGCGTTGCAGGATCCCGTCGATGACCGTCGTGGCACCAACAGAGAGAACGACCGCTCGTCTACTACCAGCTCACGCTGCGCTCCTTCATGGTCCATTCTGCAAGTCCATCAAACATCACTTTTAGCCTCGTTAAAATGTTTTCCACGTACTCTTTTCCTTTTCGTCTCTCAGTTAAAGTATATTCGAATTTATTTTATTATTCTCGAATTATTCTCGAATTTTCGTTAAAGTATAATTCTTTATAATAGTATAATTTTTAATTCTTTGTAAATGGTATAATTCTTTATAATAGTATAATTTTTAATTCTTTGTAATCAGTAGTATAATTGTTAATTGTTTGTAACATACGGTCGAAAGATAGTACACTTTAAAAAAGATTAAATTTCGTTTTATTAAATTTTTTATTATTTTCTCATGTGTATTCTTCTATACTGCTTTCATCAACACGTACAAATGACACAAATTGAACTCTTCACAATACGTTTTATATTATGTTATAGAAATACGTTAATAGCATTTTAGGATCAAAATAACAGCACATTTTTGAGTTTGGTGATTGTTTAATACTTAGTACGACCTCCTTTGTATTTAATAAAAATTTCTTAATAATTCTTTTCCTTCTCATTCTTCCTACTGCTCTACAATACAGTTTAATTATAATTCGTTAATATTTGAAAATTGTTTCCCATTCTGATCTTCGCCAAATTCCTTCCAACAATTTTCTATAATTTTCAAGTTCGAAGGCTGGCCATTCTAAAACACGAGTTTTTTTGTTTGCAAAGCAACTATCATACTGAAAAATGTACTTATTTCCAACAAATTTGTGTCGAGTGCGTGTTAATTTATTTGTCGATCGTTTAAAATATACTTTTCAGTATCTAATTTTCATGTAGTAAATTTTACTTATCATCTCACCGTAGTAACCAATAATTCTTCAAATCATTATACCGCCTCCCATAGGCCGACGACTCGGAAGTTGTTGCTTTTTTCATGATGATAATAGTGAAAATATAAAATATAAAACGTATATAAACACGTTTCTATGCAAATTGCAAACGACACAGCTCTTGCTTTAACCATGGTTTTCGTTCCAATTCTCGTCGTTTCAGATGTTCGCGATTCTTCAAAAGAACGTCGAACATTCCCAACTTCAGCATTTTCTGCAATTTCTCTTGCCGTCGAGCTTGAATTTGGCGTTATAGCACGTTTGTCCCGAACGATTGATCGTTGACAACTTTTTCTTTTCCCGTAATTATCGGGATCTTTCAGTAAATTCATCGTCGACTGTTTTACGACTTTTATTAATCTGCGTTCACTATCTTTTTTATCGCGGAATAACGTTCTTTAATTTTAAGTTTAATTTCAATACCACGTGCATTTCAACTGGATCTCGCTTTTATCTACCACCCGTATATTTATATAAATGTTAATACGTACTTGACTGACTGTATTTCACGCGAATGTTACGCTTTCGATAGCTCCCGTACGACTGACGAGCGTAAATATTCGATTTGTTCAAACTTATTCGGCTCGCGACACAATTTACATTTTCGTTTTTGTATTTCTGAGAAATCACGTGTCTCGGTAATGACATTTGCGTATGCACATACATACGTCGATGACTAAGGATACCGATATAACAATCTACGCATGTTCTTTCCACTTTACGATACATGATAATAAGAAAATATCTTTCTATTCCGGTGTATTACTTTCGTTCGGTGTTGTATATCGAGTGCCAAGAGTACCAAGAATACACAGAAACAGTGTGATGGAAAAATTCGTGCTATATGAAAGATGTCCAAGTTTGTATGGAAATCGTGTTATCAGAATACCGTGTTATAGGAGAAGCTATTCAAAAGAGTAGAATTTTTGACGTAAAGAAACGGTTTAATTCTCAAGAAGAAATAGTTCAATTTTTCACGCGTAAAGAAACGATTAAATTTCAATCAATCTGAATCTCCAAAGTATTTCGCGAAGTCCAGCGCTTAAACAATTTACTGAACACCCAGAGCCAAACTTGACAGTACAATCATAAGTAACACATGCAACGTCATACAACACACATCGGCACAATGTTGTCATAAAAATATAAAATTTTTAAAGATGGATCACAAATTATTAATAAAATAAATATTGGTATTAAAGTTCAGATGATATCAACTGTATGATTTTTTAATAAAGATAAATTTAAAAGTTTGTTTAATATTACATCTAAAAAATTTTGGCATCGTTCTTTTTTTTTTTTTTTTT